AAATACATTCCCTTTAAAATAATTTGTTTTGGTACTAAGAAAATTAAGCAAAATTTCTTTAAAATTTAATGATTTGGATTTTTTTCTATGTTTTGGCTATTGCTATTAGTTCCATTACAATTTAAATTATAAAAATATGTGTACATATTATTTTATACTTTTTTGTAAGTTTTTGTTATTATATTGATTTGTATATCAAATCTCCATTATTCTTCTCTTTTTGGATCATGAAACAAGAGAGCAAACTAGATTGTAGATTAAAAGAAAGTGATTGCATGTCACCTATCTTATCATATGTATTAAGTATGTATTTTTTTATTTTTTTAGGAAATGATTTTACTTAATATAGGATTTTTTTTTTTTTTTGTTTTAGTCATTAGATATGTTTGTTGCTTTGATATTATCATTTTCATGATTACCATAAAGTAAAGCTAATTCCAGTTCAGGCGTAAATAAAAATTGTTAAAGTAGCTTTCAATTGATTCTATTTTCTATTTACCATAAAGTAGAGCTAATTATATCCAAACGTAAATAAAAGTTTCATATAGATTCTATTTTCATTACCTTTATAATTTTAGGAGTGTTTATATATTAAATAAGCATTATTATTAATAGAAATATTTTTATTGTAATTACCCTTAATTCTAAAGTTATTATTAGTCAACCATTAGCATTTAATAATTACATTTTGTTTTATTTCAAAAAAAAAAAAAAGAAAGGAAATCTGCATTTTACTTGATCGCAATAAGATTCTTGGGTTGCCCTTTATTATCAATGTGAAAATATGACTACTGGAAATAACCTACTTTACAAAATCAACTAGAATTTTGTATCCATCTTTTACATAGTTGACTATAACATCTTTAAGGCCATCTCTTGTTACAAAAATCTCAACCAACATACTATTATGTTTGCCTTAAAGCTACCCACTTTCACCTTTGTGTCAAAGTCAAAAACTTTACATTAAAAGTAGACCCTTCCTACCTAAGTATTGTTATTCCTATCACCCAAAAACTCTACCAACTATTTTATTTTAACTTAAAATTTCAAATTCCTATTAGTATTTTCCTAATTATCATTTCCCTTAATCCATTATTTTTATTCTTATTTGATTTATACAATACATGTTTGTGAGTACATTCATACATACAATGATCTTCTTTACTCTAGTTAAATACATAGTTTTCTTTCATTAAATTATGTTTTAAACACATACGATGCATGGATATGAAATTATTTACTCTTTTGCTTTATTTAAATACATATTTTTCTTTTGTAGAAAATTTTGATTGGTGCTGCCCCTAATTTTGATGAAAAAAACTATGTATTTAAACAAAATAAAGGAGTAAATTATATATATATATATATTAAATTATACAAAATTAAATAATATTTGATTCCAAACCATAGAACATTAAATAATGTTTGATTTCAAACCATAGAACATTATATAAATATATAAAAGCCAAACTTTCTAACAAAAAAAGAAATAATCTGGTGTAGATAGTCTATATTTTCGACATGTAGACAATATAAAATATTGACATGTGTTCAAAATTAATTATCCATTTAAATTTTAAAATTTAATGGTAAAATAAATTTAATTTAAAATAGCTTATTTCCATTATTATAAAACGCATTCAATGATTCTTATTAACATTTATTTTTAAATAATTAATTTACTAAAATAAATTAAGATAAAATCAAGAGTAATAATATTTTAAATTGAAAAGTAATTTATACTTGATAATTAGAATAATCAAGTTTAATATGTATTCAATATACTTGAGAGAAATGAAAAATAGATTTTGAAATTAATCTAATAATGATAATAAAATTAAATTTTTATTAAATGATAGTTTTTATATATTCCTTAAATTACTCTCACTACTTCCATTTTTAATTTTTAGTCAACTTATTATAATAAATATTAAATACCTTGAACACCTTATTAATTTTATATCTTATTTTATACAAATATATAAAAATCAAAACATCCAACAAAAAAGAAAATAGTCAATGTGAATGTCTATTTTTACATGTATACAATCATGAATAAATGCCATGTATTATTTAATAAATATATTTTATTTTATTTTATGTGATGAATTTTTATTTAAAAAAATAAATATGCTTAAGTTGATTTGATTAATTTGTTATGTAAAAAAAAGTAAATTTATTTAATTTAGGTTATTACATTTATTCTCATTTAAATATTCATTACTTTTACCTTATATAAATAACTTTCGATTCAATTTGTAATCAAAGTTAATTATTTTTTACCTTAAATCACTCTCAATTAAATTTTATTCTTAAGTTTTCACACCAACTTCAACATTATAAATAAGAATATGTTTTTGTCCATGTTATCTTATATAAATATATAAAAGCCAAAATTTTTGACAGAAAAAAAAATTGTGCAACATTGATAGCCTATATAATTGACATGTAGACAATTTTAAAAACTTGTCATGTATGTTCTAATAAATTAATTACATTTATATTTTATCATTTACCTTAAATCACTCACAATTAAATTATATTAAAACTAATAAAACTTAAATTACAATTATTATAGAATGATTTTGTCACCTCATTTTCAATTATAAATATTCAACTCTTAAATTATATCTTATATCTTATATAAATATATAAAAGCCAAAACTTTTGACAAAAAAGAATATTATCCAAGTTGATAGCCTATATAATTGATATGTGAACAATTTTAAAAGATTTTCATGTATCTTCTAATAAATTAATTATATTTATGTTTTATTATTTACTTTAAATCACTCTCAATTAATTTTATATTAAAAGTAATAAAACTTTAATTGCCATCATCATAGTATAATTGTCATCTTTTTTTTCAATTGTAAATATTCAACTCTCAAAATTACATTTGTGTAAAAAAAAATTCAGTTGCCAATTTTTTAACCTATGACTTATTTATGATATATTCAAAAATTTAAAACTTGTTAACTACTGCATTTTTTTCAAAGAAACACAGTAACTAATAATAAATACTATGCTTCAAATACTGGAAACATAATATTCCAATGGAAAAATAAAAAAGTTAAGTACAAATTCAATATTGTGTTTCTATTAAAATAAACACAATAAATAATAATAATTACTACGTTTTAAAGCATAGCAACATAGTATTCAAGTGAGAAAAAAATTACTACTCAATTAAAAAATATTCCAAAAAAAAATAATTACAATTATTATGTTTGTTTTCAACAAATGCAATAGTTGACATTTGTAAAAAAAAAAAAATTACCATATGTTGACTTTCAAAAGGATAAAATAAAAAAATATTTTTATTCAAGTTAAATATGAGATAAATGTAATTTTACTCCAAAAATCTTTAAAAATCTACAAAAAAAAAAAAGAAAAAGTTTCTGATTTCGAGATTTTTTAGTACTGTTGGAATTTGATATTACTTTAGGAAATAGATACCCGTAAATTAAACGTAAAAATCATATTCTCACAAGTATAAATTCTAAATAAAAATATCATATTTTTTGAATCAAACGTCCCTTAAAAGTTAAATTACAAAAATCCACCTTGTGGTTTAAGATGGATTGAAAGTAACTCAAAAGGTTTAGAGATTAACATTTAACCATCTTATAATTTGTTATATTTTGTTTTCTCCAAAATCATGATTTCTTCTGTTTTCTTTTCAAAATTTTTTCTTTTATTTTTTTCCTTTTTATTCAATAATTTACTCTTTTTCTCTTTCCAAATCCAAAAAAAAAAAAAAAAAATCATTCTCAATCATTCAATCATTAATCCAAACCAACATCCTACGTTAATTTATCAAGTTTCTCCATATTGCATAAAGGACATAATCCAAAACTCAATACTAATTATCATGTTGAAACTAACAAGATAATAATAATAATTCAACTAATTAATTCCCATAAATCATAAAAATGTTTCATAATTAGAATAGATGAATAATTTCATAATAATAATTGAAATCCCAATCCTTAGAAATTTAGATAGCCAAAATCCTACTCAAATTCTTATTTAATTTATCTAAAAAAATCAATAAAATTTCAATTTGAACGGCCTCAAACCACGATGGTTTCATATAATTTACCTTACTTTACTTTAAATAAGTTTAAAATTAGGTTTTATTAGGAATATAATTTTGATAATTAATTAAATAGTCATTTATTATGTCTTAATCCTATAATTTATTGCCTTAAAAGAAAATAAATTCTGCATTTATGAGAATTACAATAACTTTAAAGTGCATTTGATGCATAAGATTATGATAAAATATGATAAAATAATATTATAAATAAAATTAAATTAAATAATGTTATCTTATTTTATGTTCAATATATATAAAGTTAAGATAAGATAATTTTATTTATTGGTCAAAATTATCTTTTTTAAAATTTATATAATTAAAATTATTAATGTAATTTTAAAAGATATAATAAAATATGTAAATTCAATCTTATGAATTAAAAATAATTCTTTTCATTTTAAGAAGATTGGATTATACTATACCAAAATGATGATTAATTTTTTTTATAATTATATCTTTTCTTTTAATACAAACCAAATATTATATAAAATAATTATATCTTATTTTATTTATCATTCTATATATCAAACATAATTTTAAATTACAAGATAATGATAATTTATCTCTTATGAAGGGTATGGTTTATAAAATTTGTTTCTAAAGTTTTAATATTAAAAGTTTTTAAGTTTTATTTTTACAAATCTTAAGTCCACGTAATAAGCATTGGTAAGGTAATATTTAATAAAAATAATTTATGATTAATGCATTGGTTTTTTTATTTGAATTTGACGAATAAAAACATATAAAAAATAGTAAAATACTCTAATATCTTTCATAAAATTAAAAAACAAAACCCTAAAATATCGGTGGACTACAATCTTAGATTCTTTATCATAAAAACACGTGGCAAAATCGCCCACCTAAACTCATTGGATAGCGACTCACCTCAGAGGTAAAAACCACCTTCGCTTTTATTTTCCTCCTAGAACGACAAACCTGCTTTTGACAAAAATGGAAACAGAAAACGCGAAAGAAACCGGAGAAATCGAAGCATCGAATGAGGCTAAATCCGATCCTGGCTCCCCCCCGAACCCGAGAACCGTTAAGACGAAAGTGCCCGAAGTAGAGATCCGATTGTATCGACGAGGCAAGGGTCCGATCGACGTGTTCAGGTCGAGCTTGGGAGGATGGGACCAGGACCAACTGGAGGTCCGAGATATACTCGAGAAATACGGGTTCAAATCGATTTACGCTTACAATACTGAGTCGGGTCGTGGCGTCCCAATCCGATTTCATCCGAGAAATGGAAGGTCTATTATTGGATACAAGGACGGTTCGGTGGTTTACATTGACGGCGAACCAAAAGTAATTTCAAAATTCTATCTGTTTCCATGATTATTGGTTATATGTGATTTTTAACATGAATTATATCAAATATATATTGTTGATAATTTAATCAAATTTATATCTCGAAATGAACTAAAATTTACTTGGGATATAAAATAGCACATATTTCCGAGCAATTAAAGATCAAAATCGTATTTTTTAGTAGCAAAATCCCTGAATATTGTTTTTTTACATGAAACTATTTGCTTATTTATAATCAAATATAAGTAATTTTGCTTTTTTACACTTTTTTTTAGTATCTGTGGCTGAAATTCAAAATATATGCTTGGTCATATAAACAAACAATATTTTTTGAAATTAAAGGTTGAAGGTGTAATTCTTTTGGAGAAGAAAACACATGATTTACTTCTATGTAGAATGACTATGTTATATTTATAGTATTGGTGTTGCATTTTGGTCATTTAGTCATTTTTAAGCCATTATGGTTTTGCAATCTGCCATTTGCATTTTGCTTTTATAGCAATTTTTTAGAAGTAAAGCACAAAAAATAATTATTGAAAGGAATAACCATATGGAGCCTTACCAGCTTTAGCTAATTGTCAAGGATGTTTTTTTTAGGTTGGCACTGTGAATTAATCTAAATTACTAGACTATAGTGTATAATACACTGAAAATTTTATCACTGAACCCTGAATGGAGGGAGTCTTTTTACACTGATTAATGTTAAGGGTGTTGAGCTATATAAACCCTTGTATTTTCATCTAATGTATCCTCATGTTGAGATTGGCTTTTTTTTCTTTTTTGGGTATAAAGGAGGCCATAGTCTGGGGATAATTTTTATTTTTATTTTTTGGTAGAAAGATTGGGTTTTGATTTATCATAGCAATGAATTAGTCAAGTTGGATGCTCTAGGACTCTCTAGAGAATCCAAAATCAAGATGGGTCATCAGGATCATATACCATTTGAAGTGAGCACCCAAGCCTCAACCTAGTAGATTTTTTTTTTATTATCTTTGACTACTTTCTACAGTTGTAGAATAAGTTTGTTTTCAAATTTGAGTGTGGCTATTCAACCTGGATTCAACATCGACTTGGTGACAGCTTTGAATAATCAGGTCACTAGTGTTCAATTGCTGGGTCATTTAATCTACTTCTTTAAATAAAAGATATTTAATAGTAAGGATATAAATAGGTTGAAATATTCTGGTGCAAACTATGTCTGTAAATATCTAAGTTATAATGATGTAAACATGTAGAGTTTTAACAGTGAATGGTTAAAAAGGGTCTGCTTTTACCAAATTCTACTCAACATTTTATTACAATTGATATAGGTGAATCATGCTTATATATTGTCTTTATAATAGTTATTAGGATAACCAAGTCATAGTGTGTTGCTTAGAAGCAGTTGTAATGGCTTTGAGTACCACGGCTTAAACCTTAGGGTGATAAGGGTTAAATTTACTAATCAAAAGACTTGATAAATTCATTTAACTCATATATTCGGTGGACTAATTGGTTTTTTAACTTGTCAAATGCAAATATTGTGTTAGGTGAAATGAGGATTGAACTGCATCCCTAAGCCAACTATAACCTTGAGATTGCTTTATGCTTACCTTATTCAAATAATTTTCCCCAACCCACCCACACTTTATACAAATAAATAAATAATGTTTTGTATCCTTTTTGTACTTTCATTTAACTCAGGCTAAAGCCTATTATATTTGGTAGACTAATTGGACTTTTAACTTGTCAAATGCAAATATTGTGTTAAGTGAAACAAGGATTGGACCGCATCCCTAAACCAATGAGGACTGCATCCCTAAACCAAATAAAACCTTGAGGTTGCTTTATGCTTACCTTATTCAAATAAGTTTCCCCAACCCACCCACACTTTATACAAACAAATAAATAATGTGTTATATCCTTTTTGCACTTTCCCCTATACTGTATAAACGTTCCTATGCACATGATTATCATCTGATGATTCATGTTCCAGATCCCAACTAGTTTTCAGTATCTCCAATGTTCCAATATTTTAATGTAACAGATGGTTAGTTGCTCATCTAAAGCAATTAAATAGATCTTAAAAGAGCTGATAGACTTTGAGTTTCCTTTATGATGTATGAAGCATGCTCCTTTTTTTGGTACCTCCTTATATTTATTTACCTTTCCTCCATTGCATAGATCTTAAAAATTCTTTGACATAGCCACTCTTTCTTTCCTATGATCTTGTTTAAGTCTGTTTGAGCTTTTTGGTTTGAAATCTAGAAACCTATATATGTGTGTGTGTGTGTGTGGTTGGATTTGTGAGCAATAAATCCTGGCTCTGAAGCCTGGACTGCTTCAAATATTGTTTTCATCGTGGCTTATCCACTTCTTTGGCTAATGACTGGAAATTGTATTCAACTCTTCATGATGCTTATGATATGTCTGCTCATAAGCCGATATGACAAGTGGCTTTTCTTTCGTTCTTGATTTCAGGATTCTTTGATCAAACCTATAACCAAGATCTTGGTAGGAGTAGCAGTTATAACGCTTTTGATAGCTCTGGTAGTGAAGGATACTCCTGAATGGATCAAGAAATTAAACATTTTGGGTGGAGATTTCCCTCCTTGGGTCCTCGCTTGCATTGTTATCGTTTTTACACGCATGAGGAAGAGAACGAAGGATTTCTTGAAGAAGCTTGGTTGGTGAACAGAGATGCTCAAGAGGCATTTTGTTTAGGCCTGATAAGAGGCTGGTAATGATGAAATCTTGTGCTTCCCCCCTCCATTTTTGTTTCTATGCCTAGAATAATCTGTTGATGTTCGTGGAACACTTCCACACATATATCATAAATCAAAATAGCGCAAGAAGTCACAAAATGTGTTAAATTGTGATGAAACTCAGATTAATCTGTAAGATTTTGAAGTGAAGGGAATTCAGTGACAAGCTATTTAAGTTTGCTATCAGGATATATCTTTCTTATTAAAACAGTGTACCACCATTATTATGCTATATGCTGGAAGTAAATATGTTCTAAGTATTTCTGATGCTAGACATGATAATTTTGAACATGATATGATAACAAAACACAAAAATGATACGAAAAAAAACATCAAAGTAACAAGATTAAAATTTTTGTAAAAATTTTATGTGGTTGGACAAAAACAAAAAAAAATGTGTTTTGTGTTTAGCTTGTGACACAAATTTGACAGAGATTTCTGCAGAATAGTTTATCAATTTGTGAGCAATTAGCTATTGGATTTGGACAAAGGCAACACACCAAGAATGACCTCTTTGATTCAATTTCAATCATCTCACCAAAGTTGTAGTCAATTTTAAAAGGACTGGCATGAAAATTTATAAGGGAGAATTACAAATTGGAGAGTTGAGAACCACAATGTTTATCATTACTATCATGGCAAAAAATATTTAGTAGAAAGAAAATATCGAGTTACAAAATTAATGATAGAGAAATTGCTTTTACCATTTTGATCCTAATAACTAACAAGTTTTTTGGATTTTAGCTTGTACATTTTATGCTCTTAATATGTACATCTTACCACAAATGTATGTTAAACTTATATTTTTCCTAAAAGGCAAATAGTTTTTTTTTTTTAATGAAAGTCTAAGAAAAACAAATAATTATTTATGAAAATCTTAAGGGGACATTTGGTTTGCGAAATTTTGAATTCCACAAAAAAGTGATTTTATAAAAAAGTGTGATATTTAGAGTTTTTTTTTATTTTTAAAATATCTCGTGTTCAAATTTATATATTTAATTGAAGAAAATTTACGTCTTTTAAGTTTTAAATAATCATTATAATTTCTTTGATGTATATACCAATTTTAAAATTTGATCTAATTCCAAGCATAGCCACCTTCATTTGTCCAAAATTTTTTGGTGTGAAATATTTGGAATTTGGAAGGAAGTACCTTTTAAAGGCATTTTCCAATAAAAACGCCCTAAAAATTATTCTTTTTTTTTTTTTTTTTTGCATTTGGTTGGTTTTTTGTTGGAAAACTTTTTTATGATATTTTTCAACAAAACCATCTTAAATAATCTTGTTATATATTTTTTAAAGGGAGTTATTTAATCCTGATAAATTATTTAAGGTGTTTTTAATAAAAAAATATTTTAAATAATCTTGTAATTTTTTAAAAAATCATTTAAGACATTTTTTCAATCAAATATTTATTTGAATAATGATTTATTTAAGACGTTTTTCATGTCAAACTTCATTAATTGTAATATAAATTTTTTTTTTAACAACAAAAATTTATAATTGACTTGCAATCATTTCTAAATATATTTTTTAAAATGATAATGATTATTTTATTATTTTTTATTTAGATTAAATTTTAAAATAACATTTTTTTTTTTTCGAAATCTTAAAATATTATAAAAAGATGTGAGTTTTTGATCCAAAACTTTAAATTATATTAAAAATCTATCATTTTTTTTAAATCAAATTACCTTAAATTAAACTTAAATTAAACGTTAAAAACAAATATCCATTAATAAAATTTTGAAAAAAAAATTGTGAATTCTCTTAAATCAAATGCCCACTAAAATTATTACAAGTACATAATAATTTTTAACATGATCTTGGATTTTATTTGTAAATATTTTAAACCCTAAAACTAACCCTTAAAAGGTAAATAATGAACTTTTATTACAAAGTATTTAGGGTTTGAAATTAATATAAAACTTAAACTATATGTATGTTAGTAAAATTTTTAATAAAATAATTTTGAAACATCATTTATAATTAATTAGAAGAATTACTAATTGGATGATCAAGTTAAAGTAAAAAACATAAAATAAAATAATCTGAGTTTTTAAATTTTATTAAAATCATTAAAACGAATATATCTATAAAATAATATTAATATCTATCAAAGAAGATCAATGTTAAAAATCATCTATAACAAAAAAATTCATCTACAATATCAATACAATCAAATAAAGCTGTCCCCTTCTTCGATTTCCCCTCAATTTAATGCCAACTAAGGAATTTATTATTCATTTTAAATGCCAAATCAAAATATAATTAGACACTTCATTATCGCATCAGTTTCACTAAATACCACCTCAATCTATCAGTACAGCCTCCCTTCATCATTGCTAACCTCTCATAACTATAAAGTATAACTACCAAGGCAAACTCCATACCCCAATTCTCTTCTTCACAGATTTAAAACAAGCCCGAAAATAATAATAATAAAAAAAACCACTCAAATCAAAGTCAACAGCAACGTCTTAAGATCAAATTCATAACATAGAAAAAACCAAAAATAAAAAAGAGGTCGAGTTTAGCGTCTAGAAGTTTTTGGTGGTTTTAGAGGTTTTGTTAAAAGGGAAAGGCTATGAGAGAAGATAAAAAGGAAAAAGGGGAGAGGAAAAGCACCACGGATGACAACAATACTGGCGATGGATAAGGTGAGAGGGTTTTAAGGGAATCCAAAGAGTGGGAAAGAAAAACAAGAAAAAGGAAAGAACACACTTTTATTTTCAGTCGATTTGGACGACGGCGAGAGGATTTTTGGCGGTTTTAGATCTAACAAAATATAGGGGTTTTTGGGAAAATCCAATTCGATAGAAGTGTTTAGGAAGAAAAGAGAAATTTTGGGAACAAATCGAAGATGGCTAGCGAAGGTCGGCGTGGCTACTGGTTGTCGGATTTTGAATTTCTTGGAAATTGTTGTTTGGATTAAGAAGGTGAGTGAGAGAAGGGGCGATTTAGAAAGAGAGAATGATCGAAGATGTAGCTTTGGATCTTTTATGGGTTAACTAGAACGGCATAGTTTTAGTAAAAGAAAATAAAAAGAAAAAAATTAAAAAATAATAAAAGAAAGGAAAGGGCTACCGGCTAAGGTGGGCAATCCAATTCCATCTTATGAGTATGTATTCGATTATCTTTACGAGATTGATTTTTTTTTTAATTTAATTTTGGATCGGATCGAATTAAGTAATATTAAAAATAAATTAAGATCGAATTGAGTTGAATTTTAGATAAATTTGATTTAATATTATATAAAAATAATTTTTTAAAATAATTTTTTATTATATAATTATATATTTAAATATTTATATTTAAAAAATAATATTTTATTAATTTTAAATCAAATCAAATTTAATTTATATAATATCAAATCGAATCAAATTCGTATAAAAAATTTAAAAATTTTTAAATCACATCAAATATAAATTAATAAATATAAAATCAAATCAAATTTAACATTAACAAAAACTCATCATTTGATCCGTTGTCATTCCTACTATTGGCTTGCACTCGAGGAGGTCTCAATAGTTTTGGGTTACTTTATTTTGGGCTTGGCTTATAAGTTTTGTGAAGTCTATTCCCGTTCCAAAACCAGACTTGAAGTTAATATTTTTTGAAATATATTTATTATTATATCTTATTTATTTTTCAAAAAGTATCAACATATATGCTTTAAGTTTATTAGCATTAAAATCAATAGAAATAAAAAATTATTAAACAATTTTAATTTAAGATATTAAAAAAATGTGTGACCCATGCGAAACTGGCGCAGTTTCTAGACAGTTATAAAGTTAAAAGAAAAAAAAAAATGGGACCCCCAATTTTATGAGGTCACTTCACTTGGCGCTCCATTCCAAAATGCAGGAGCAACTTACGAAGCTCCGCTCGTTTACGCAATTCTGAATTTTATTTGTTATTTTATAAAAAGTGTAATTGATTAAAATTAAATACTAAAAATGAAATTGTTCAAAGGAGGTGATCGAAATTGGCGCTTCTTTTCTCTCTCTTTTCCCAAAAAATACTTTTTTTTTTCTTTTTAGAATTACAAAAGGCAGTGCAGAAAAACAATAGAGAAAAAAGGGAAAAATAATTTCTTTTCCATCCTTTTCCAAATATATTTACTAATTCCATATCTACAGTGCTATAAAAGAAGCCAAAAAGAATTTTAGAAAAAATTCGAAGGGTGTAATAATTAAGATTTTTTTTAAAAAAATACGTAATTCAAATCTAATAAATTAAAACTGAAAATTTGCTTGTTAATTCTACCGCCATGTCAATGCGAAGACGAACCTTGCTGAAGGTCATTGTTCTCGGCGATAGCGGGTACGTTCATTTTCAATTTTAATTTCAATTTCAATTCCTAGGGCTTCTTAAAAAATTTATGAATTTTTTGGTATTTCTTTTAAAATTTTTAATAATTAATGGGTTTTTGTCAATGTCAGGGTGGGCAAAACGTCGTTGATGAATCAGTATCCTTGCAACAGTTATTGAATTTTGATCTTATCTTATTTTTGTGTAAATTTTCTGCTATTTTTGGGGGTTAACTTTTTAGATCTCAAATATTGTACTATGGGTTAAGTTGATTTTAAGGTTTTAATTTCATCTGAATAATCCCAATTTTTTTGCTTATTTATCTAATGCTTGATTTATAAGGCACGTTGTTGTCAGAATTAACTGCTTGAATTTAGATATGTTCATAAGAAGTTTAGTCAACAATATAAAGCAACCATTGGTGCTGATTTTGTCACTAAGGAACTCCAGATTGATGACCGCGTTGTCACTCTTCAGGTGGCGTTTTAATTTCTGTTTTAGGGTATTTCTATGTTCTTTGTAGCTTAAATTTGAAGTTGTCATGGATGGTAAGTTTATGCAATTTTTTTCTTCTTTTGGGGGCGTTGCATTGGATAGATATGGGATACTGCGGGGCAGGAGCGGTTTCAGAGTCTCGGTGTTGCCTTCTATAGGGGTGCAGATTGCTGTGTGCTAGCTTACGATGTTAATGTGATGAAATCATTTGATACCCTTGATAATTGGCATGAGGAGTTTCTTAAACAGGTTTCTTTCTGCCACTTTCTCTATGCTTTCATTTTACTTTCCTTGTTGGTTTTAGTTCTTTAGCAAATTATGTTTTGTTCGTAGTGAATGGCATGTTTCACTTTAAGTTGTTTTTATGCCTCTAAAATTCAATGCAGTTATAAAATTGTCAAGAAGAATGTGCAGTGTATTAGGTTTTTTTTGGCTTGTAGTGCTTTTATTACCCCTTTCATGATAAATCTGGTTGCTAGAGATAATTTCTTTTTGTCAAGGAATGTTTTCTAGTAATGCATTATATATGGACTTGGTCTACAATCAAAAGTTAGAACTTTTGCCAATCTTGATGAATGTGGAATTCACCTGCATCACTGCAAGCTATTCATAAGCTATCAAAAACTTTTATTTATTAATTTCTTGTAAGGCATCCTTCTATCTGGTCTCCCTGGTATGCATGTGTCATGTTCACCTATATGTACACACACAACCCTTTCTACTAGATTTTTGTTTATTTGGATCTCAGATCGTGTTTGAGTTTGAATTAGTTCATTTGCTTTATGGGCATAACTTCTTCTAGTTTATGTGCTAACATTAGCCTACTTAAATGATTTACTCTGAGAGTCTATACTAGTGGAAGGTTGAAGTTTGAGATAATTGCTGCTGTTTAGTAATATATATCTTGAGAGTCTAGAGTCTAGAAAAAAGTACAACCCAAGATATTTATCCTTAATGTTCACTGTTATTTTCTTTACACCTTCAAGCTTGTGCAGAGGCATGGCTTGTGAATATACTAAAAGGTTGAAGCTGCTTTAAACTTTCCCAAGGACATTTTACGAACCAATCTTCTATAAAGCAGGAGCAATTTTTGATAAATTGTTTCTAAGAAAAAATAGTGCTTACTTATTTGAATCACACCTGGCATGAATTAAACTTTCTTGGTCTTTTGTTGATTGACCTTGATAAAAGGCTTCTTTCTTTTATGTGTCAAATGGAAGAAGAAACACATGGGATATTTCTTGTTAGGAGTGTATGCTTTCAAATTCTTACTGATATTGATATTGAATTACTAATGGTTGCATAAGTTCAAATACATTATTCAACCTAGTTTTGTTAAATTGTGGTTGGGCTCATAAATTCTTTTTGATAGCTTCCTTTTGTCTATTGTTTTGGCCCTACTCATGGTGTCATACCCAGTTTATCTTTGCTTTGTCAATTTGTCTTCATTTCTCTCTGTTTCATGTTTATTCATTTTTGCACTTTGTGAACAGGAAAGAAACATAGAAGTTGTAATTTCTTACCCAATCTTTTGTAGGACAATTGCCTCTGGACACTGGAGTGGGTGATATAGCCTCAAATGTGCATAGCGATTTTCTGATTTGATCTATTTTGTTGTCATTCTGTGGTTCTTGTGGTCATCAATGCCTGTTTCTCCAACATTCCTTTGCTTAGTCAACTAGTCAAAGCTGGTTTATAGAAGCATTATAGGTTTAAGTAAACAGAGTAAAATGAGTATGTAGGTAAATATGTATAATGTAACAGCACCTTTAATGAATGCTGATTCTCATAGGAATGCAAATTTTCTCGTTTTGATGCCTAGTTGCATCATGTTCATGCTTGTCTAGTTAGAAATTGGTAAAACATTTGTTGCTGACCCTACAGTTAAACGCTCAATGTGACCTGCTGACCTTTCAATGTGCATGATCTTTCCTAGCAGCCAATTTTAATTTCTGAGGTTACTTACTCTTTTTATGTTTATGGTTTTATTCCTCTAAACTGTATATTAATTTCTTTGAGAAAGTGATTACCATCTGTTTTAAATGTTGATATGGTTTCCGTTTTCATTTCATGCCAGGCAAATCCTACTGACCCCAGGACGTTTCCTTTTATATTGCTTGGAAACAAGATAGATATAGATGGTGGTAATAGTCGAGTGGTAAGGATATATAGTTGCTATACTTCCTAATTTTCTTTTATCCGTACACCTCAGACTAACAGATGGTGTATTGAGCCATGTAGGTCTCCGAGAAGAAAGCAAAAGAGTGGTGTGCTTCAAAAGGAAACATACCTTACTTTGAAACGTCAGCAAAAGAAGATATCAATGTTGATGCTGCGTTCCTTTGTATTGCCAAAACTGCTCTAGCAAATGAGAGCGAGCAGGACATGTAAGTTTATCTTAAGGTCTATTCCCTATTTTGAGTGAATTTTGGCAAATACATTAGTATTGTTCGAACACATGTTATTGGCCCAGAAAGGAGCATGGTTTCATCGAGCACTGCAGGTTCAGAGATGATCATTATATTGTCTTGCATTTTTACTGCACAGCTGTGACCTTTAACATATGCTTTTGGGACATTATATACTTAATAGTTGGGGAAAAAGAGGAGATTTCAGTATTGTAGGGATGTCAATGGGGTGGGGAGTGCATTACCCATCCCTTATGCCGTTATCCCAACCCCATCCATGCATTGGGGAGGAATGTCCTCCCATCCCCATCCCCTTAGGGAGCTAACAAGGGCGAGGAATCCCCATTCTTCTCCAATTTCTTTGAAATTTTATTAAAAATTATGTTTGAATATTCAATTTAGAGTAGAAATGATTTTGGTTCATGAATAACGAACATTAAATAATTAAAATTATGACAATTAGAAGTAGAATAAAAAACCAAGGTTCATTTTACAAGATTAGGTTAAAGAAATTGAAAATTAAAATAAAATAAAGGCTTTAATAATGGTACCTTTAGAGAAAAAAAAATAGAGGTTGGATTTTTATTATTTTGAACTTACATGTTACATATTTTTAAGGTGACGTTTCTATCGTTATATATTAAAATTATATAATATATATAATTTATAAAAATACATTTAATACTATATATATCCGGTATTCTTTCCCCCACCATCCTTGCCTCTATCTCCAATTTTAATTCCTCAAAACCATCCCCATCGGGGCAGGGAATCGGATTCCCTGTCGGGTTCAGATGAAATTGACATCCCTAGGGTATTGTCATTAACATTTCAATATGACCTGTTAGAGTATAATTTGGACTATATTAAGGGTGTAAAAATTATACTATCACCTTGGAAACCTGTTTGACTGCTAATTGATTTCCTCGTTATATCAAATTTGTGGTGTGGAACTGACAACTTTATATATTTTTTAATGAAAACAATGTAGAAGGTATTGTTTGTCCCAGGTAGATCCATATTTCTTAACTTTACTGAATTGCTCATTTGGACATTGCTTCACTAACATATAGTGGAAATATGCTACTATAGTCCTAACTCTAAAGTAGATTAATCCTATTTGTGTGCTTGATTAGGAAAGATTCTGACCTGAAACAATTCAATGGGTTTGCTGAACTGAACAATTCTAAGTGACTGGTAGAAATTACTAGAAATAAAATTCAAAAGCAAATGGTTTCATGACAATTATGATAAGGTGTACTTTCTTTAGCCAAGGTTAAATCTTATGATGTTGCTTTAAAGAATAGGAAACACGTATCTTTTATCATATGGTTACTTTCTCATTTAGGAAAAAGTTGTCGAATTCGAATAGAAGTGGCTTATTGGTATGGCCATCTAGATCTTATAATAATGATCATGGTTCTTTCTCACAACCTATATCTTATGTTATAGTTTTCTTTATTATTTGATTGTGTATGTGGATGTGCATGCGCTTGCCTTCCATGGTGTTGTTCCACTATGCTTAATATGGGCCACGATGTTTCTTTTCTGAATTTAAGATGTTTGCTTTCTTTTGGTTTGTCTTTCTACATATGCTGTAGCTCATTGGCATACGTTCTTGTGTAGTTGATATAGAAAATTTACTTATTCATTGTTCAGTGGGATATATTTTCATGTTTCTTCTATTGATATATAATAATTATATTTTAAATTCCATCATGGGATTTTTTTCTGTCACTCTTTCTCTCTCTTATGCATGAGCACTTTTGTTTTACTTGTAATTGTTCAATGATGCAAAAATACTAATTAAACTTTCAAATAACTGTAATGAACTGTTTCTTATCACGATCTCGCCTTAAAATATTGGTTGTGTTGCGTGTTTACCTAGTTCTTGCACAGATATTTTAAACTTTTTAAGATCATCGATGAAGGCTATGCAGTTTATAATTCTCTTTTTGACTGATTTCTCATTTGTGTATGATTGCAGATATTTCCAGGGCATCCCAGAGGCTGTGACTGAGACTGAGCATAGAGGCGGTTGTGCATGTTGATTACGAAGCCAAACTCCTTTTATTCTTGGTTGCCCAATGCTTCCATTTTTTCTGGTTCCAATGATTCTTATCTTTTTTTTTTTTTTTGTATGCATTGTATTCAAAACTCCCTTGAGCGAAGCATTATTTGCCTTTATTATTTTTTGGGGTAGAGATGAGCTTCAAGAATTGAAATTCGTAGAATTCTACGTGATTTTGCTTCTAGTTTTAATTGGGGATCTATGTTCTGAAGGTCCATTTACTCGAGGTTTCAACTTAAATTGCTTTGCTTTGCTTTTTTTTTTTTTTTTTTTGGGCACTAAATATGAAAAGGATTTCTTCACAATCGAGTTGAGGATATGGTGAGGCCTGCTATGTATAACTTGAAATCAAAATTATGAAAAAGAAATTTAAAATGGAGAAAAAAAAAGAGCAATAAGTGTTTAAAAAAATAATTTTAGATATTTAAGAAAAATAAATAACTTTTAAATTTATGAAAAAATTCTGAAAAATAAGTTTCACGAAATTGAGAAACACTGTAGCGCCCTTTAGTTGTTCAAATATAAGCTGATGTTAATTCCGAATGCATTCTAATATCATCTTGGCAGTTTACAAGAAAAGGAAATGAAGAGATATGATGAATAAAGTTGAAAGAAAAATATTGATTGAAGGTAATTCGTTGTATTGAACACCTATGAAATGAGAAATGAAAAGCTAAAAAGTTTAAACATGAATTATAATTTAATTGGTTCATGCAATTTAATATTTAATAAATTTGTATTTAAATCTTTTACTTTAAATTATGATTATTTTGTAAGAAAAAAAAAAAAAAGGTTAATTGTTTATTTGGTTCGATTGTCCTTTGAGAATCTCTGCTACATCTATAGATTTGGTTTCTCCCCAGCAACAACCAACTGAGAAAACACCAGTATGATGTGTGGAACTCTTTGAAGATTCATGTCGACGTCTGGCTTACATTGTTGTCGCTGTGTAGAACAATCTTGTATGGAAAATTTTCAAAATCCGAGTAAAGTAATTTTGTTTGTGAAGTAAAAATTGTGCGGCATTTAGGTTGTACCCTTTTATTAGCTGCTTATTAATTGCAAGATTTGATTATTTTGGTCAATGTATAATATTATATATTTTTAAAATTTGATCCAAATTAAAATTGAATTTTTTTAAACTAATCCAACTTAAATCGATTTCTATCATTGATTTTATTTGATTTGGTTTATCAGATTTTAAATTTTAATTTTAAAATTTTTTTATATTATTTTAATATAACTTCTAATATATTTAAATAAATCTAGAGATAAAATAATTTTTTTATTTTATAAAAATTAAAACTACATAAAAATTAATAAAAATCTGTAATTCAATTGGATTTGAATTTTTTTGTTTTTCACTTTTTAATTTGAAATTCATTTTGAACTCAATAACAATATTTATTATGCAAATTTAAATCGATTTATATAAGAAAAAAATTTGTGTGAATCGAATGAAACATCACAATTTGAAGTCAATTTTTGAGTTTTTTTTTTTTTTTCTCACCCTTACTCATAACATATGATTTTATCAGTGAATTGACCTGAGATAAACACTAGCTATGCTTATTGCATACTTTTTTGCTCTTCTTTTCTTGACAATGAGAGCATAAATTTCAAATTAAGATTTTATTCTCTGAACATAGAGAACATTAAGGTGCTGTAGACAATCTTTTTTTGTGATAGAGCAGTAAACTCTAGTATATTTCTTTTTCATGCACAAAACCAAGTATGTTCTATTCATTCAGCTGAAGAATCCGAAGTTCTGGTGATGAAAGGACTTCGACAAGGAGGCATGTTAGCAGGGGGACTACGTATGCTTGTTTCAGGATTGCTGCCATTCTTCACAATCATAACAGTGTTCATTCCCCAACTCAAATGTCTGCCTTCCTGACAGTGCAGTGCCCATACTCCTAGTGACAGAGTAGAAGAAAGTTCAGATTTTGCTGTATCAGCATATAGAATGTTCAAGATATGCAATTCAAATGGAATGGTAAACAGAAAGTACCAGGATTATTAGCTTTAAATCTGATAGTCAGCCATCCCTTCACAGGAAGTGAAGCAGTACTGAGATAAGGTGGATCAACAAGATTATATGTTTCCGGATCCGTTGTACTGTTGAAATTCCCATAACCCTCTCCCAGTCTGTAAAATTTGTGCCCATGTAAATACATAGAATGCTCATCCGATGCATTCAACAGATTTGTTGACTGAAACACCATCTCAACTTCTTCACCAAATTCCAAAATCTTCACCTAGGTCCCCTTCAATGGATGTGTACTACTATCTCTCAAATCCGCTACAAAGTCAAAGTAATAGGGAGGCTCATCTGGAAAATCCGTGGTGTAAAATTCACTCAAGTTCCTATAATGAAAATCTTTGATATTGTAGTTACTTCCAATCACAGTATATAAAATTTGTTTCCATCAACAGAAAGTAAAAGTTAGTTCTAATAAGATTTGTATTCTAGAAGAGAAAGTGATAAGTTTTCTGCTGAATCCGGATCCAGGATTTTTTTAAATAAAGAGTGTTCACTTATAATTTTATAATATATATATATATATATATATATATATATAAAACTGCCAACGAATTTGCTGATAAAAGAGTGTTCAGACGAAAACTTTAGAAGTGTCAACGAGAAAATTTTCCTTTAAATTTTCTTGTTTTTCAATTCTTGGAGTGTCAATGACACCCTACCTATATATGTGGATCCGCTTATGTGAATCCCACAAAACATAATGCTAAAAACATGGTTAAAATAAGATCAATCTAGGCAAAGAAAAAGGTTTTTACCTGTAGTAAGCTTGAAGCACTGCTGTTGAGGGGTTTATCCAGCTTATATTGTTTAAGCTTGAAGCAAGAGCATAGTCCATATCCACAGAAAGGTTGTGAACAATTTTATCCATAGAAGCTGTTATGTACATTCTGGTAGTTATATTTCGAGGTACATCTATGGGATTTTCTTTGTTTGCCAGGCTTTTGAGACGCTTCCTGAATTGTGTTGCAGAATCATAGTCGGTATAGGAAGGAAGCGTTTCAGGAAAGAGAGGTGATGACAGTCGTTTGTATTTCCCTCTATACTCAAGAATTGCGGAAACATTTGTTTTATCATATCCTGTAAAAACAAGATTATCAGTGTAATATTGTCTACCAGCCATGTAATAATGACCAGGAGATTGATTTGCTTTGACTAAAACATCCATTGTCTGGCCAGTCGCTATCATGACATAACTTGTGGTAAAAGGTTTCAGGTAGCTGCCATCCATTCCAACAACTGTGAGATTGTGTCCCGCTATTGCAAAGAAGAACTCTTCATTCATCAATGCATTGAGTAAGCGAATTTGGTAGGTCTTGCCATAATCGACTTGCCATTGGTATGTTGTCTCTGCAACACGAGAATAATCATATATTTCTCTTCCCTAAATGTGAGAGTATAAGATTGCCACAATCCTTCATTGATCTTTCAGTAATTGAACAATTTTGAACTATGTAACTAGTATATTTATGAAAAGATGTTCAGCTACAAATTTTAGTTCTATTATACCCTGATCGTCCAGTCAATATCTTAATTGCCAAATACTGATTAATAATTATATTGGTTATTATCTCGATTAATTTAACATTTGATTAATATTAAATAAGTTAATTAATCACTTCAATACAAACTCAATATAAAAAGTAAAGTCAGGCCTATGATAAAACTTATATACGTATATTATAATTATACATATGTTTGATTTGTGACAGACTAGGTACCTTTAGAGCAAGCACAGAAATCTCCTGGCTGGCCATTGATGGTGTAAGCATCAGATATAGGGACGTCTCTCCCAGTTCTCAGGATCTCCTTTATTACCTTGTTCACGTCATAGGTAAACCAAGTTCCTGTATGTATAGATATACAATAGGCAAAACCCAAAACCCTGGTCAGATTGAAGAATCAAAATACATAAATATAGTACTAATTGTACGAACTGTGTAATGGGTCTAAATCCAACAACCCACAAAAAAGAAAGCACCGATCTGGTCTGGTCTAAAATGAGATCATATATATTCAAAACATCCAGTTATAACCAAAATAAATTAAATGTTACCGAGTATGAGAATTTCTTCCCCATCAGGAGTAGGATAAGGTTTGCTAAATCCTTGAGGAGGGTAAATTACAATTGCCCCATGAATAGTGTTTCGAGTCCAATCGCTGTTAGCATGCCACCATAGAGTTCCTTCCTCATCAGAAAATACAACTTCGTATGTGAAATTCATGCCAGGTTCAATAGGACATTGCGTGACGTATGCTGTACCATCCGACCATGGATTTCTTGGTTGCTTTACCCATGCCTGGATCCGTATTGATGATCGAACTTTGATTTAAACCCATCATAAAAAATTTGCTATACAAGATATGCAAGTAAGCAAGTGACTGAGTGAGTGAGAGAGAAAATTACCAGTGAATTGTGACACCATAATCCCCATGATTATGAACATTAACAAAAACTGTATCACCTTTATGAACATAAATGGTTGGTCCTGGAAATTGGCCATTAACGACCAACATACTCTTGGTCACGCACAGCCTCGTGAAGTTCTTCTCTGCCAGCTGCATTTTAGATATTGAAGATCATCACAATACATAAAAATAACAAAAAATTATATGCACGTAACCTTCATATACAGTATAAGGTACTCACAACAAAGTCATAATAGTGGACTTCTGCTTCAACCACCCACAAGGAAATCCCCGTGAGAAACAAAAGTAATAGAGGAAGTGCTGAGACGATCATGTTTCTTTGAAGGAACATAGGCTGATCATTGTAAAATTACCAAAAATGTAGACTGATCACTCGTCTTGATACAAGTGATTCATATCACTCGAAAAGTTAATGCAGCCACACCCACAGACTTTCCAAATAATTGTTCTAATATGTTGATAATGATGAAAGGCAGAAATGAGAGATGGAGAGTTATTAGTTTCACCGTTTCCCTGGTACTGTTACTAAAATTTGACACGTGGACACTTTAATGGGCTTGTCTTATTTATATTCTTTCCTCCGACCAATGAAACATAAGTGGTATCACATCACCAATGAAACATTAGTTGTATGTTATATATTTTTCTTAATTAAATTTTTTTTTTCTCTTTTGATGTATGTATAACACATCCACATTCGTGCAAGTTAACTTTAGTGTATTATTATGTATCTACTTGTAATGTTATAGCAGTTTAAAATTTACACCCACTCAAAATTGTGCTACCTCTAATGCTATCAAAAAAGTTTTTTT